AGAGCCAGGTCGTGAAAGTGGCGCACGCAGGCATGGTCAGTCGACCGTGGCAGCCACCGCTCCCATTCCCCACTCCAGTTTGCTGACCGGCTCGGACAGCGGCTGTGGTGTGGGAGTGGGAATGGAGAGTGAGGTCGACGACTCAGCGCATTTTCCTCACTATAAATAATCTGACGCGCTCGAAGCTCTCAGTGGTCGCTAAAAGCTATGGCTTGGATGGTTGCCTACTGATGTAATAACTTGGACCTCCTCCGTGACTGGTGATGGTCTGAGAGTCAGGCTGCAATGCCTCCTTCTTAATGTGGCCTTTATGGCACTCCCACCCCAATGTGGGATCCGAGCCAGGCGTTTGCGGCACCCCACGGTGCGTCTTCGGTTGTGCCACCCTCCAAATCTGTCTTGTGTTGGTTAAAATCCTGGTCATTTGTTGTGTGGACCAGGGGTGTGGTGGAACGCCAAGGTGAGGATCCATCCGAACCATCCGCCTGCGGACTCCCCGTCTCCGGTCTTCTTAATAATAATTAATAATTATTTTATTTAATGCCAGTTTACAGACATTGTCAGGGAAGCGTTAAACACAAATCCGGCCAGCTGTGGAAAAAAAACTCCCGTGGAAAAGGAATAAAAATATAGTTGATGGTGGTTTTATGGATTGGAGGGTTCAGGAGAAAAAAACTGCTGGCGACAAGCTTTCGATCGTCAAGAAGAGAGGGGTTGCACGGTATTGGACATTATCAGTCGCCAATTTCTTTCATGAAGTAAGGGTTAGTCTAACCAGAAGCGCCGAAGAACAGTTGTCGCTGTTGGCCAAAGAAATTGTCCCTGGTGAGACCAGCCATAGTGATCAGAGACCACAAGCGCCATCGCTACGGTAGAGTCGATCTGTGGATTCAGCACCCAAAATGTGTGGGAGCTTTTCACAAGCTATCGACCGTCAAGAAGAGGGGGGAATGCACGGTATCGGAGATTATCAGACGTCAATTCTTTTCAAGAAGTTGGGGATAGTTAAAAAAGAGGCGCCGAAAAACAACTGTCGCCGATGGCCAAAGAAATTGCCCCTGGTGAAACCGGCCATAGTGTTCAGAGACGACAAACGCCATCGCTACGGTACAGTCGATCAGTAGATTCAGCACTCAAAATTTGTGGGAGCTTTTCTGAATGCAAAAATCGAGTAATAGTTCTCTTATATAAAGGATAATTTTGCAGAGTTTTCACACTCATGGGTAGTTTATTCCAAATAGCAATTGCATTTACAGAAAAGAACCGACGATATTTAACAGTACGTGCCAGAGGATGAAATAAAAAGACCTCACGGTAACTGTTACGTCGTGGGTGGATATGATGTCTAAAAGAGGTGAACGGGTTAAATGTGTGATTATATAAGAGTTTAAATAGCAAAAATAGTCCCTTTTGTAATCTACGGAACCATAAAAGATCGAGGCCTGTAGGCCGGCAACGTTCTTGGTAAGACAAATGTCGGTGTTCCGGGGTTAAAATTCTCTTGGTAAAAAAGTGTTGAACGGATTCTATTTTTTTCCGCTCAGTAGCACGCATGAGGCTAAGTGAAAACGAACAGTATTCCAGACCAGGTCTAACGTACATGTTGAAAAGGCGCATTCTAATGTCCCTAGTTTTAAAATTTCGGAGGATAAACCCGGTCGTTCTACGTGCTTTGGAGACTATCAAGGCACAGTGCTCCGAGAGATTGAGACTCTTGGAGTATGATACGCCCAAATCCT